CCCATAGAAGAGCCACATGTGCCATCATCCCCTCCCTGTTCAGAGATACCATAGATGCCTTGATCCTCTTGGGCTGATTAATGCAAGCACCTGTCCTACTGGATGCTTGTAACTCACACGTGTCAGACCATGCTCCCTCCCTCTTTCTCTGTCCTGGGATCACTTGTCAAAAAGGGGACATGTGGGGCCATTCCCCCTTCTCTCTGGGTAGATATATAATTTCTTTTATATTTATATTTATATTTTTATATATAGTTATTTATATATACACACAACTGGTAACTCAGAAGAGAAAAAAAATAGAATCCGTAACAATAATCATAAAAAAAATTATTCTGGTTTAAAAACAATCTGCCCTACTGCGCGAGGCGAGCAATTGCACTAGGTCTGCGAGTGTCAGGCCCATTAGGGGCAGGGCTGCAGGCTGCCTGCCCTGCCTTTCTCCCAGCTGGAGGCGCTGCTGGTGTGGTGTCCCCTTCTCTCGGCAGTGTGTGCTATGTTTGCAGTTTCTTGGTTGGTTCAGAGGAGGTGGCCAGCTGTGGCGAGTAGCCAAGCTGGGCCCGCCACTACTGTGATGTTGAGGGGGTGCCCAGGGCCTCGCCCCAGATCCCAGGGATTGTAGTTAAAAACAGTCACTGTCCTCGCGGCTTCCTCTCCCAGTCGGATTCTAAAAAGCGTCCATGCATTGAGAGCACAGGGGCGCCTGGCTGCTGCGCCTGGGCCTTTGGGCATCAGCCAGGGAGGAGGTGACAGTGGGAAGAGTGCACTGCCCTTCATACAGAAATCTCATAGGTGGTCCCGCCCACTCCAGACACCTTCTTTACTCCTCCACGTGTGGGGCTGCTCAGAGGCGGTTGGCCAGGGGTGGGGGAGGCTGGGCCCAGGCTCTTGGGCTGCCCGTTGGACTTGCTGTAAGCTGTTCGCATCTGCACCTCGTCTCTGGGGAAGGAAGGACACAAGGGCGTCAGGAAGTGACCACACACTTTGGGGCTGGAGGTGTGGAAAAGGAAGGACAGAATATGTATGCCCAAGGGAGAGGTGAGGATACTCTACCTCAGAGCTCCCTGCACAGCCCTCCTCCTCTGGGTATCCCAGACTCACACTATGCCCTTAGTAAAGACCCTGATTTAGCAGGAAAACTCAGAAATGGCTACAGCCCCCCGTTTCCTGAGCAAAGGAAGGTCTTGCCCCTTGCCCTGGGGAAGAGTCTGTCCAACACCCCCTGCACTTGGTAGGGGAAAGGGTGTGATGGAAGGAAAGGGACATACACACCCCAGGGAGGAGTCTGTCCAACACAATGGGGTTGGGCGAGTGGGGATGTAGGTGTCTCACACCCAAGGCAGTGTCTTCCCAATACTCCCCACAGCACTCCCTGAGGAGAGGTAGGAAGGTCTCACCCCCACCTCTGCCTGCAGGAGGTACATCTTTCCCACTACCATCCCACCAAACCTGCATTCACCAGGGAGGTGGAGGAAACTCCCCCTCTCTCACTCCCTGAACTGCCTGGGGACAGCTAGGTCACACAGAGGGAGGGGTTGATTAATGGCATTGGACTGGATGTGGGAAGGTGTGGGAGTGGAGAGGGAAGGGTTATACTCAAACCATGTTCTCTGGCAGGGATGGGTAGAGCCAAAGTAGGAGAGATAAGGACGAAAGGGTAGACGAGAGCAGGCGAGTTATCACCCCTGGCCTCTCCCTCTGGTGTGCCATCAGCTCACTCTGAGGTCCTGGGCATGGCAGTGGTGGGGCAGTAGCCCAAGCATGTCCTCAGCTGAGTCAAGGAACACTTAAAAGCACGAGGCTGGCAGATTTTGTACTTACTTTGGTGCCAGTAATGGCTGCAAGGCCACCTCCTCCGTCTCTGGGACGCTGGCCTGAGACGATGCTTTTTGGCTGCTGTAAGACACAGATTTGCCCAGGTGGGGGGCAGCAGGCTGGTCTGGTGAGCCTAGTGAGCGCACCCTGAGTGCGTGCAGAGGCTCGGGCTTGCCAAAACGGGGCGGCACCGGGCGAGTGAGTGGGTTCTTTGCTAGAGGCGAACGCTTCGAATCGTCCGAAGAGGAACTGGTACGCGGGGCATTGCTAGAGCCTGGTGTGGACTGGATGCCCGAGTCCACCTGCCCTGTGTCTTCCTCCCGAGCCAGAGGCGGTGGGCTGGGTGTCTGCTGCAGAAGCTTCTCCCGCTCCTGCATGGAGGCCACAATGTGGCGTGAGAGATTGTCATAGCGGATAGGAGAGTGCCCAGGAGGGGGGTGGTGCTTGGGTGAGCCGGTGCTGGGAAAGCGGCTGTGCAGGTCAGCCTCACGCTGCTGGGTGATGCGGGCTGAAAGGAAGGGTGATGTGTAGCCCACAGGGGGGTCTGGCTCTGGCCCAGCCTGCACAGACTCAAAGTCAGGGCTGTCAGAGGGGGTGAGCAAGCTGTCATACGACAAGCTCCCATTGCGCGTCTGATTCACCAGGCTCTTGTAGGATGTGGAGGTGGTGCCCTCAGAGCGGATCGATTGCAGGTGGCCCATCTCAAAACCTGTGCCCTGGGCTGACTTGAGGCTGGAGGAGCGAGAGCCGCTCGACAGTGGGTCAAAGTGGAAGCTCTTGCCAAAGGTGGGCGAACGGAAGCTCTCGGGCTCAAGGCTTGGCTCCGACCGATAACTAGGGTTCCGGCTGCTCTCAGCGATGGATGTGGGCTCTTTCAGGCTGTCCCCTCGGCTCAGCTGGAAGGAAGGCAGGCAACCACTCAGTGAGTTCCCAGCACCAAGTGGGGGCTCTTCCTAGGTTGTCATACCCCTCAGACCATCCTGTGGGGCTGGTCTTGTGCACCCTGAGACAGGGCCAGTGAGCTCAGCAAAGTGTCTCCCCTTCCAAGGGGTCCCACTTCCCACCCTTGTCCTACTCTGCGAGGCCAGCATCAAAAGCCTGGGGTAACATTCCCCATTTTGAAGAGCCCTGACCCTGTCACAGCTTCATCTGACCAATATGAGGTAGGTCACAGTGGGAGACAAAAGCCCACCATTCTCAGACCAACCACTGCCCTCCCAGTGGCAATGACCATTGGTGGTGTTGGACAGGACCTAACCACCACACTCCAAGACAAATTCACAGTACAATACCCTTCCACTGACTCCCCCACCCCACACCTCTGAAAAGAGTGCAAACCTCACCCCCAAGCCTGCCTCTACAGGCAGCATTACCTTGGCGCTGGTGGAATGGGGCAAGGCGGCTGAGGTGCTGCTGCTGCTGTAGCCAGGTCGGTACTTGTACATGGTTGGAGTTGGAGGGCTGTCCTTGCCTATCAAGCTGCTGTCTGGGGGATGGAAAGGGGGAGAACAAAAAGGGAGGAGACACTCACACACAGACTCACCATGGTGTTTCTCCCAAGGCCATACAGAGGAAGAAATTCAACTTGATGATCTGTGAAAACCAGTTCTGAGCCGGGGGTGAGTGTAGACACTGAGGAAGGGGAGGGCTTGATTGGGATGGTGCATGGGGATCACTGGGAATGGATGAAATGGAGCAGGAAGGACATTTAGCAACAGCAAGACCTCTCAAGTCCAGCAGTTTCCTGCCCATGTACAGCCTGCCCAGTGCTAAGGTATGAGGCTGCTCTAGGGGTCCTGGCATGAGGAAGAGAGGTGCTGCGGGGCAGAACAGCCATGCACTGGGCCATGCAACACATAGGGGACCCTGCTGCTTAAGGCAACTCATGCCTGACACCTCATATACCATGGGGGAAGAACAGTCCTGCCCTGTATCCTTATCTGATGCAAGAGCTGTGCCCACTCGGAGTGTACAGTTCCAGGGATCACCTCCTAACAGGCAGGGGACATGTGGAGAGAAGAATACTATGTGTTTGGGCAGCCTTTTCCCAACAGCTGCCCCTGATGCTACAAAGGGGAACTTCAGCAGCTTCTTCATAGAATCCAAACCTCAGAGAATCACAGAAAAAGTAGGACTGGAAGGGACCTCCAGAGGTCATCTAGTCCAGCATTTCTCAACTTATGGGTCACGACCCAAAAGTGGGTCACAAGAATATACGAAAGGGTTGTGAGCAATTACGGAAAAATGTGGAAAATGACAGGTTTCTCCTGTAAAGGAGAAAAACGTGGGAAACTGCATGTTTCCCCTTGTTACTTAAACTATTTACTGGGTCAGAACTGGCCAATGTTTACAAATGGGTCCTGGTATAAAAAAGGTTTAAAACCACTGATCTAGTCCGACCCCCTGCCTGAGGTAGGATCACCCCTATCCAAACCATCCCATTCAGATTCCCTATCTAGCCTATTACTAAAGCTACAGGCAACCCCTTCACACAACCACAAGGCGTAGCACCCTAACCTGCCACAGGTAAAGCAGGGGGACAATGGCAACCAATGTCCTGCTGCTGCAAGGGTCACTAAAATGAGCTTAAGAGATCCAAGGAAGAGGCCATACCCCTGCTACAGAAGAAAGCAAAAACTTTTTTGCCTCCCAGGTTCCAACACTGCCTGAAACTCACTGGATCCCCTTCAAAGCCTCTTCTCAAACTGCTCCTTCTCGCTCCAATAAACCTGGGAGGACTTCTCCTCATCCAGCAGTCTATTCACACCTTTTTCTTTCCCCAGGGCTGCCCTTTGCTTTCCCCAGTCTGGCCCAGACCTTGGAACCTTGTGATGCTCCACTGCAAACACACTCTTGGGTCCATTCAGCTAGGAACCTCCTTGGGGCAGGAACAGTGAGCCAGTCAGCTACATGGAGCCTAGGAGACACTGTATTCCTGGTAATGGGTTCTACCCTATTCTCTATACATTGCCTTTGGGTTGGGACACCAAGCCCACTCAGGAGAACTCGGCACTAGCATCCCTGTTCCTACTGACATTGGAACAAGGTTGCCATGGTGCCCTGTGGCCAAAGGAATACTTAGATCTCCCTACTTGTCACTCATGAAGGAAGCAACATAAGCCTTTCCAGAGACCTAGGAGCCATGGGAACAACCTCCCCATTGCAAACACCAGCTCTGCTTTGTCTGTCACCCCCTGCACTTCACAGGGGCTGGAGGCTATCCTAGAAGTGACATTAACCCCACTGCCAAGTCCTGTAAACCAGCAATGTGGCACAAACCAAGCTGCCCCAACCATCCCCTATGCATAGCTCTGCCAATGCACATCAGTCCTGCCGTGCAGCCCCTGACTCTGTGCACGCAGCTCTACTGGTGCTCCTGACCCTTGGCCTGTAACGTGGGCTTGCCTTCCTGCAGCTGCTCGAGAACTCCTTTCCTTGGCATGCCTTCCTTACCCTCATTGGTGGCCAGGGTTAAGTGTGTCCTCAGGACCGTGTAGCGGCCGAGGTCTGGCTTGGGTGGGGGTGGCGGCTCAGCATCTGCAGACTGGCTCTCCGTCACCTCGAGGCTTCCTTTGGACTGCAGAGACAAAGTGCAGAGGAGCAATCAGAAGGGAGGAGAATGCGAAGTCCCTGATGCACCCACCCCTGGGCACAGAAGTTAGGCTGGTAGAAGTGGAGCTACCCAGGAGCTATGTGCCAAGTGCTGGCAGGCAACGTGTGTCAGATTCTGGGCTGGAAGGGAAGAGACTCTTCAAACTACTCGGGGCAGGGGGACAGAGAGAGATGGAGGGTGGGAGCTTCATGCAGCAGCAGCTGCTGCATGAGAGGGACATGACTTCAGTCACCAAAGGAGATCAGATATAGAGTGAAACAACACAGAAGGAAAGAAGGGGATCATATTAAAGGCTCACTTGGTTCTTACTCACATGGCAGGTTTGTACCCCTTGGTATGAAGGAGGCCCCATCAGGGTGGTATCCCTACCCCTCTCACCTTCGTTCTCTTCAGTTCAGTCTGGATACCATTGTCCATTATCTTGACAGCAATCTGTCCATCTGACAACTCAGGCCTGAGGAAGGGTGGTTTCACCAGCAGTGTCGGCTCTGCCTTTGGTCGCCCGAGATACCTGGCAAAGCCCAGGGGAGAAATGAGTGTTAGATTGAACATTCTTAGTAGCTGAACTGGGACAGTGTCTCTGGAACATCAACTGCTCCCAACCTGTGACATTATGGACAGACCTACACTGCCACAAGGGCAGGCGAGGGGGATGCAGTTAGCAGGATGTAATATGTTGTTCCCCATCTCCTTTCCCCCGATTTACCAGGTTACTATACAGGGGACATCCAAGCTTCACACAACAGCAGGCAGATGTCTGGAATTCATGTAGGGGGATGAGCAACGGGGCTGGGGGCAGGTTTGGAGTTAAAGCCTGGCCCAGGAGAAGCAGCCATCACACAGGAGACCACATATCTTGAAATGGCCTGGCATTCCCAGAGCAAGACCAAGGGCAAGCAAAGATCTCCCTACAAAGGGAAGGGACAACTTACCTGGGAGCCAGTGAGCTGCAGAGGACACGACTGACATTTTTACAGCAACCATTAGTGAAAGGGTTCACTCCTCCCCGGAATTTACCTGTAACCTGCAGGGACACAATCTGTCAGGGAGACCCAGGACAAACAAAGAGCTGTTGAGGGGATGCTACTCTGACCTCTAACTGTACACGTACCTGTTCATTGGTGGTGCGGCCCCTTGCCACCAACACCACATGGAACCCTGTAAGGCCAGCCACAGGAATGAAGAACAAGCCGGCCACACACATCACAGCCATACTGCCAGCAGAAAGTCAAGGAAATGACTACTGTGTTGCTCTAAAATACATACCCTCCATTCTCCTGTTTCTCAGCACTGATGCTCTCCCTTGCGTACTCTGAATTCCTACCATCTGGCACTCTAGTGCCCCTGGGAAAGGACCCATTCCTACAGCCCAAGCTGCCTTCTAAGGTCCATCCACATGGAGGATACGTGACAGCCATACGCACTCCAGAGAGCTCTTCCACCTGGTAGAGGACGTAGAGAAGGCCAAAGCCAAACACGCCCATGATGTGTGTGGTGAGTGACAACAGAAAGAGGAAGAAATAGCGATAATTGCGCCGCCCAATGCAGTTGTTCACCCAGGGGCAGTGATGGTCAAACTCCTGTTGGCCAAAAGAAAACAAACACAGAAAGAAGCTTCAGGTTGCACAGGGGCTATGCGCTCTACCCAAACTCCAGCACAGATCTGCCATACCATGGCACCCAACTGTCCTGAGGACAGAAATACACAACCCCATCCCTCGTGTCTGAGCTTCCCAAACCCCCAGAGTGATCAGTGAAGACCTCCCTACAACAAAAGCAGAAGTCAGAATTCCTTTATCTTTTAGGGGGTCTTGCCCCATGACTAATGAGGCAGAGTGCAAGATGCACACCCTACCTGTGCTGCAGGGCAAATGCAGCACAGAAGCACAGAACCCCTCCACCTTCTGGCACTCCAAAAGCTTGGGGTGTGAGGTGAGGTGGAGGGAGGGAGGGACAGGCAGAGAGAAATCAGTTCAAACCACCATGGTGTCTATCCTTCCCTGCTGATGATCTCTTACCTCTACACAGTTGTCACAGACACTGCAGTGGGAGCAGCGTGGAGGCCGGTAGAAGCGACACGTCGCACACCATTTCATGCGCACCTGGATGCCCTTGATCTCCACCGTCTTGTAGAGTGGGGCTCGGAAGTCATCCTCTTTGTCCTCATCTTCCTCAGCTGAGGAAGGGCAAGCCACCAGCACAGCAACAAGTCAGATGGGTTGGTGAGTTCCAGAGGAAGCTCACCTGTTCCCTCCCCCCAGGACTTGGGGAGCTTCCAAGAAGCCCAACCTAGGAACTACCCAGGTGCTGTTCCAATGCCACAGCTCAGTTGGCGTTCTGATCTACCAAGCCTGAATATTGCAAACAGGCTCTCCTAGGGCATACACCTTGCCTGGGTGATGCTCAGGGACCAGAAGATTTATAACTACTCTGGTTATGGGATAATATCCAGAATGCCTGCTCTGGCAATGGCCAAAACTGCACCTGCCACAAGCAGGTAAAGCCCCCAAAAGGTCTCACACCCAATGCAACATCATATTGGCAGGAGGATGGGGCCCTTGAGCCCTGCTGCAATCAGCTTGTACCCTAAAGTTGAACGGGTGAGAAATTGGCCCCTGGTCCCACCAGAGAGAAAAGAGTTTGTTTCCCCTTGACCAGTCCGTGGGAGGCAGCAGTTCTCACCTCGTGGGAAGATGCCTGGGTCCATGAAGGTGGCCATGCTGAAGTTGGCCAGCACAAAGAGGAAGACGATGGCATTGTAGATGGGGATGATTGGGGAGATGTACAGACTGAGCCCTGGGCACCTGCACACACAGACACACCAGTGGGACAGTGCAAAACCTCCTCCGCTCACCCCACTGCCTTCATTGCCATCCTGCACTTCAGCCCATGCCCCTTCCCAACCTGGTCTTAAAGGCATCCTCCTGGTAAGGGAACTGGCTGATCTAAGGAGGGACTTCCAGCAACCCTGTCTGAGTGCAAAGCAGGGAAGGGCTTGGGTTGGAGCAGCCTGCCCTCCACATTCTGGCCAAAGGCAAATCCCCTTTGCCCTGCTGCTGTTTCTTTCTCTAGAACCGTGTCCCGCAGCAAGAGTAGAGATAAAAAGGAGGGTGTGGACGTGCTGGACAAGCTGTCCCTGCTGTATGCTGCAGCGTTCCAGCCCCTGGCAAGTGGGTCGTATTTCCCACTGTCACTGCTGCCAGATGGCAGTGCAAGGTATTCTTACATTGCCAGGGGGACTCAGAAGCCACATAGCAGAGAAGCTAGGGAATTCACTATGCACAACATTAACCCTTCCTCTCCCAACAAAGGCTGCTCCCTCCCTCCACCCCCTTTTTTCAATAGTGAAACCTGGCAAAGGGCATACTTGAAGATTACACTGCCAAGGTCAGAGGCATCATGGGTTCCTCTAACAAACAAGGATGCTGATACACACTGCCAACTGGGCCCACTCCTCAGACAGAGAAGGCACCAGTCTTCTGAAGCAGAATCAGTACTTGCTGGGACTGCAATACATTCCAGGATGCAGAAGGCTCCTAAGGTGCATAATCAGAATCTTACCCCTGCTCCCTGACTGCCTGCTCTTGCTTTTGCTCCCATACACTTTCCCCGCAACTCCAAGGAGCTGGCTTTGAAATGCAGTACGAGTCTTCCACACTGTGAACTACTCTACAAGGGTAACTGGGAGAACAGCTAAGGAAGACAACTGGTAGTGGGTACATGTGAGGAGCACTGTGCTGGGCTCATCTGCCCATCTTGGAAAATCCACTGAAATTTGAGAGCTAAGAATAATCACCTCCCCAACCCCGAGTCCCAGAGCAGAGGGAAACCTCCTCCTAGCCAGCCATGGTAGAGGACAAGGTCACTGAAAGGATGGCACCATCCTGCTGATAATAACAGCTTGGCCCTGCCCTTCCACTGTGCTACATCTCAGACACCTCTAGAGCAGAATAAACCCAACTCTCCCAGGTAGAGGCAATGGCCAGGCAGGGAAACAGGATAAGCCAGTTGGACTAGCAGCTCTATACAAGTGAAGCCTGCAAGCAAGAGATGTGGCTCTGACAAAACACACCAGGAGAGTACATTACAGGGAACAAGGGCCTTCTCTACATACCAGGCTGAAAGCCAGCCCCCTGCCTACAAGCCATGGTAGCTATTTAGACTGGTGCTATGGAATCTACTCAGAGAATGTGATGCTTTAAGCACATTACTGCCCATTGCTCCGCAAGGGGGCACAGGTGTCCCCTGGGAAATAAAATAGCCTTTGATTACAGGGATGGAGTCAGAGCAGGAGTCTGGCAAGTCCTTGTTCTGGCACAATAAGGCAGTGGGCCATTACCATGACACTCATACTTGTGAAGATGCAGCTCACATGAGGATGCTGGATCTTAAGACCCTCAAGTGGCAATGAGGATTACGGACCACACTACTGCAAAGCCTGCTTCAGCAAAGGTCCACAAGACGCTAATGGTAAGGCAATTACACTCTTGGCTAATTGACTTCAAGATGCAGAACCTGCTCGAATTAGCCTAACCCACACCAGTGAGTTTTTTCAAAACAAAGACAGTTCTGCAGAAAAGCAGCACTGCAGGGTGGGACTTAGAACTGACCTGGGAAAACAAAGGTCCCGCAGGGTAGGGTGCAGGTGCAGTAGCAAAGCTACAGGGGAGGCCCAGGACTGAAGAAATGCAGAACAGGATTGTAGATAACAGCACAGAAGAAATCCCTCAAATCAGACTGAGCTCAACCTTTTTGCTTGGCAGGCCAGATGGGCAGTGCCCAGTCTGTATGTGGGCTGGATCTGGCTGGTGGTCCTGATTTAGTGCCCAGGGTACACATGGCAGGACTCAATCTAGCTGTGCAGGAGGGGTAGGGGGTAGCCTGGCCCCAATACAGCTGTGCTGGGGAAGGGGGCTTGGCCTAGCTCCAATGAGGGGAGCAGAGAAGGGGCATGACCTGGCCCCAATCCAGCCACACAGGTCTTGGGAATTTGGCAGCTAGGAGGGGTAGTAGTATTAAGTGCCACTGCTCCTCTGCCACCAAATTTCCTGACCCACATGGAGCCCTACAGGCCAGGTGCCAAGGCTCCATGAGCCACATTTGACTCGCAAACCAGAGATTGAGCACCCTGCCTTAAATGGATCCTGCAGGTCACTCTCCACCCCTGGCACAGTAAAGAAGATGGAAGGAAAGTAAAGATGGGCTGTGCAGCAGAGAGGGCTGCCAGGGGTCCCAAATGCTGTACAGAGACCTCCCCACACACAATCCTGGCTGGCCATCCAAGTACCCAGGAGGCTCCAAGCAGTAGAGGTGCCAGGAAAGGCACAGGTTGCAAAGGTAATCACCGTCCCTCCAGCCCCTCCCCAGGAAGAGTTTGGGCTCCAGAGACAGTGGGCTTCCCCCTTGAAGGCGCCAGTGTAATACCCTAATCTGCTTTGCTGCTCGGTGCTTAATCCTGTGGATCTAGGGCAGCATCTGTCCCTTCTCCCCGCAAGTAGGAGCAGCCTGGGATAAACACAGAGGGATTTAAGCAGTGAGAGCACAGAACTGGGGAGGAGCATGTGTAGCCGGCTGAACAGTATGATGTGGTGTGAATGGAGTAATCCACAGCAGCCTCAGAGCTTGGGGGAGCAGCACAGAGGCAAAAGCCAGACTGGGCTGGAGCTCAGCATCCCAAAACCCCTGTTAGCAAAGAAAAGTCCAGTTTAACCCAGCCTCCCTCTCAGCTCAACAGGAGTCCAGGGGAGGGGAAAGCAGATGCACATTATTCAGACTATGGCTCCCAGCTTCAAGCCAGCTACCAAAACCAGAGGTGGATGGGGAGGGGGAAAACGCAGGAGTGGGCTACAGGAAGATAAGCAGTTGCCTTATGAGGCCAGGAGGAAAGGGCAGCAAAAAGGGCTGCAAGGGAGAGGGTGATCAGAGATGCTGGTATAGTGGCAAAGCAGTCACGGCTGGTGCAGAGGACCTCTGTCCAAGGCCTTACTGGGCTGACACTTGCTTCCAAAAGCCACCAGCACTTAACTTCTTCCTGCAAACAAGCTCAGGAAAGGGACTAGGGGCTGAAGAGGCCCTAGCCAAAGTGTCCCTATTACTCTTTGGCTTTTGGGGAAGCCCAGCCTTACTACTGCTAATGCTGTACCTATGTGTAGAGGGCTTCGTTCTGCTGCTGGAGCACAGCCCTTAGGTGAGTGACCAAAAAAGGGGCCACATGTGGCAAGCAACAGGGAGGTAAATAATCTGTTCTCGTCTAGGGAACAGTAGGGAGGAGCCCCTGTATACACCTGTCCTGGCACGCAGCTTCTAGAAAAGAGAGCATAAAAAGGAAGTGAGGGAGGGAAAGGGAGGTCTAGAGCAGGGAGAGGTGGCCAGAAAGTGAGCAGGCAGGCAGGTGCTGCAGGTCTCGCCCAGCAGTAGCATTGGAGCAGGCCAGCTCATGTCCTGGCCTGATAATTAAACCACTTCGTTCTCCTCGCTCTCTCCTCATAGGAATGAACCTGCATCCAGGACAGTGCCCTTCCCAAATACCCAGCTGCCAAGCTCTCACTTTCATACTGTTGGGTGACTCATTCACTAAGCAAGCAGACGATCCTCCCAGCTCTTTGCCTATGCAAATCACCAGCTGCAGGCCTGCTTCAACACTGTGGTCTGAGATCCCCAAAGCTGAGCTAAAATGGTGGCAGGTACCACAGCAAAGCATGGGCAGGACTAGGATTGAGCATCCCAAATCCACCCTAGTCTGCCATAGACTAACTGGGATGGGGTCTTGGGCAAGACATTTCCCTTCTGGGGTTTCCCTATCCCTATTGTACAGGGGGTCACAAGGTTAAATTCACTAATGCCTGCCACGTCCTTTATGGTCCTAAAGGGGCCAACACGTCTTCTGATAAATAAACAAGGTCCCTTCCTAGTCAACAAGCAAAGGAAGCCAAGAACAGCCCACCACAAGGATCACTAGGACTCTGGCACCCAAAGGACACTGAAAGAAGCTGAGGCTTCACAACTCCTGCCTGAAGCAGATTTTCTTTGACCTTGACTTTCAGCATCAGACTTCTCTTATCTCCAGCTGCTCCAAGCTCCCAGGCAGCCTCCATTGCCATCACTTATCAATAATGTTTGATACAGCAGTGCCCACTGGCTAGCCAAACATGCAGCCTTGGTGTGGCAGGCACACCACACACACAGTAGTAGGCAATTCTTGCTCCAGACAGTTTACAGTTTAAGCTACCCTGAACCTGCCCAGGTTTTAGCTATACCAATACCAGAACCTCAGCCCTGACCACAGCAACTTGGCCAAATGGTCTCCTTCCCCAACCCCCAAGCTGCCCTTCACAGAGTCAACTCTCTTCGCATTATATGGCCACATTCCTCTGAAACATTCTTGTGCTAACCCATCCAATAATGTGTTGTTAAGATGGGACCTTCAATTTACCTGGTACATTCAACTGTTCCCCACCCAGTCCTGAGATTGTACCTGGGGCAGCATCATCTGTTTGCTTTAGCCGAGCAGCCCATTAAGGCAAGGACGGTCCAACACCAAGCCTGCTAACTGGTCAAGCACACTGACAAAGCTCTGCTGCAGAGGCCCAAATCCTCAGAAGTTAGCATACCAAGCTTCAGTAAAGAACCCAAGGGACACTCTCCTTTGTAGGGTTTTAAAGACCACTGCTGCCACTTCACAGGCAGCCACTATAGAGACTGTAGGAGTATGTGTGACAACTTGAGGCCAGGGTCTAAGCAAGCAAGGAATAAGTAATGGTAAGGGGGAGTTCCATTGGGCAACTGAGCCATGTGGTCCCCAAAG